TCTTCAACAGGCAATATTGTGTAGCATGCACGCTAATGCAACACAGATCTGTGACTCCTTCCTCTTTCTACAGGACTGACATGGCCAAATAAGGCAATACAGACTGAGGGAAGCCAACCACTGATTATATGGAACTTAAAACCAAGCAGAAGATTTAAAATAAACTGATTTTAAAGTGGTCAGAAATAAAGTAACAAAGAATAAATCACACATTAAAAAATGAAAACAGCACAATCCTCTGGTATGCAGAGAATTTGCAGTAGCAAGAACTGAGCCCTGCTCTTTCACCTGACCCATACAGCTTCCTTCTCTTCTCAGGCCTTACACAGTTCCCTGTACCACCCCAGAGCTTCCAACACCTCATGAGGATCCATTTTTCACATATTTTTCCAGCTCCCCAGCATTTAAGTGGAGCAGAGAAAGCAAGCAAGCCAAGAACCAGAAATATTCAAGATAAAAAAAAAAACCAAACATGGCTGCAAAACTCAGAAGTTAAATTGTTTTTTCCATGTCAGAAGAAACAAGAATGCACATCTGTCTGTACCTGTCTCTGCTCTCATTTTCTCCAGGTACTGAGTTAATCTGGCATAAATCGGATCCCCCCGAGCAGCTGTACGTCCACAAGCCACGTTCACCTGTACTCAGGTAAGGGCTGACATTAGGTGTGAGTAGCTGAGGCACAGCTCTAAGACACGTGGTTCCATAGCTGGCTCACACTCTGACAGCTCTGGTAACAGGCAGAATCAAATACAATTATCCAGCTTCTTCACACACACACACACGCACACAAAATTACTTGCATCCTAAAGAATAGAACACTAACCTCTTGGCGAAAATTATTTGCTGTCCTCTCTAGATGATCCATTTTCCTTTTTGATTTTATTGTGCTGCAACAAAAAGTTAAAAAAAAAGATAATTACCATTTGGACAGCTGTGCTACTGTCCCTTACTGATATGAATTTCTATTAACATAACAATTTACCAGTGTAGTCCAGTCTACATATGACATAAATCTAAACAAGAATTAAATATAAATATATAATTGTGATTTAAATAAGTATTTATAAGTCTGTAATAATTTTGTCAGCTTCATTTTGACAGTGTTACCATGACATTCTCTTAAAAAAAAAAAAAAAAGATGTTTTTGTATGTGGAAAACCTACCCATTCACTGTGCAGTAACAAAAAGCAGAGTGCCTCAACACCACTAATGCAGGACAAGTGGGAAAAATTCTGCTCGCACCTCTCAATAATCGAGGAACAGTAAAACCCACATAAACAGTAGCATGAGCCATGATGCCTGGGCCGTCTTCAGAATCACCAGCTCCTGAAAAAGCCATATAAATATATGTTAAATAAAATACTCACTGTTTGACATGGCTTGTTTTCAGCTTTTATTTCCATTAAATCAGAAAGACCAAAGCTCAGGTGGAACTAGAACTAGCAACAGACATACAGCGTAACATTTTAAAAGGACGAAAGTATCAAAGTTGGGTGGCAACGTGCATCCATCGACTGAAGGGGAAGATGATCTTTTGTCACAGATGAGATGGAAAAGGCTGAAATACTCAACACCTTTTTTGCCTCAGCCTTCATAGGCAAAGCCTCCACCCAGACCTCTGCTTGTACCAGTAGTGTTTGGGAAGGAGAGGGATGTGCTCTTCAACATCTTTGTCAGTGATA